ATCATTGGGTTCCCCTTATAACAACAGAAAGGGCTCAAGAAATTTAGCACAGTTATAATTTCAGATGCACTGCATACCCTAGCCCTCAACGAAGATGCATGTGATCACGGAATAAAAAATACACACAGTTATGGGCCTTAAACAACTATCCCAACAATCAGCATGCATATTGCACCATAATAAAAAATTGAACAATTATTCAAAATGGCCATCACACAACTAACAATGCTCAACAGTAAAGGTGAATAGTTAACAATATATAATAGATGCAAAATGATATGATTATTGTATGGAAGTTAAAACACAGAAAACTGCAGCTAAATTAAATTTATTGACAGAAAGCAAATGCACTAGGAACTCGAATACCCCAAAATATATTTACCAAAAGCCACAGTGTCCCCATAACTGCTTGCACCTCCGCTGGCTGCAGTCAGTCCTGACTCCTGAAATGGCATATGAATCGAGCATGCCTATCAGAATTCTGGTTTGATCTCTAAATAGATGTGGAAAGGAGGAAGGGGGGGTGCGTACACGCACACACACAGGCAAACACACACAAGTGGTCCTACTCTTTCCAACCTAGAAACTGATATCACAAGCATGGCAGAAGCCATCTGAGAGCTTGACTGAAAACCCACCTGGGACTCTGGCAGTGGTACGCAAATTAGAAGTCACAGTATACCATGGGAAAAGATTAACTGCTTCCCATAAGAGGGTCCTGCAAGTACCATACTCATTTCTGCAATACTCAAGACAAGTAACAAGCTATCCACTAAAAGAAGCTTACATTTGTAAAAAGAAAAAAAATCAATATAGGTAGAAAAAGACAAAAGTGTATTATGGTTTTTAATACTATATTTTTGCACATGTGCACACAATATGTACAGACATCACTGTGAAAACTCAGATGTCAACAGTAAAAAAGAATGCAATGCTGATTTGATTTGCCTTTGCAATCCAATTCAGAGGGCGGTTATCTACAAAACACAAACCTTTTCGAGTATGGGATTTCTTCTGGTTAATTTTGTAGAAACAGATACATCTGTCCAAACAAACATATGAACTATTTCTTTCCTGGGATTAAGCAGTAAACTGAATGGGGAGAGCAGCAATTAAAACAAAACTGAATTTCAGAGTTTTTTTTTTTTAGGTGTAACACAAAAGTAGCAATCGGAATTATGGACCTGGCATAATTTGTGCATATTATTTTTCAGGGTTGGAGTTCAGCAGCTAGACTAAGCAAAGATGATGGATAAAAGAAAAAAAAAACAATTATTTTATTTCCTGGGTGCAATAGCATGAAAGTATTATCTGAATCCTGGACCAAGTAGGGAGGCCAATTTATTACACACCAAAATGTTCTCTGGTGTTCAAGCAACGAAAAATGAAGGAAACCAAATGGTTTGCTACAAATATTCTTCTAAAAACGTACAGTTAGGTCCATATATATTTGAAAAAAAGGCACAATTTTTTTTTTTTTTTTTTTTTTTTTTTTTTTTAAGGTATCTGGCTATAGGCCGGGCGGGAACCTGTAAAAGGATACAGTTTGGTCCATACGTATTTGGCACAATTTGTGTTTTTCAGGTACTGACCAAAACATATTCAAGCTATAGTTATATAATGGATATGGGTTGAAAGTGCACACTCTCAGGTTTAATTTGAGGGTATGTACATCCAAATTGGAGGAAGGGTTTAGGAATTACAGCTCTTAAGAATATCCTTCCCCCTTTTTTTCATGGCCAGGTATGGGCTACTCCTGTGTTATTTCTTCATCAATTAAGCAGGTAAAAGGTCTGGAGTTGATTCTAAGTGTGGTATTTGCATTTGAAATCTATTGCTGTGACCCTACACCATGCGCTCAGGAGGAGCTGTCCATGCAAGTGAAACAATTGTAAGGCTTCAAAAACTAAAATCCATCAAATCCCCAAAAAACTAAAATTTTGCCTGTGTCCATAATATATCTATCTATCTATCTATATACCAATGCTGCCCTGTCATTGCCAAAAAATGAGCACTGACTGCAGCACGTGTTTGCACTTACTCTGCAGTTCCTATTGGCCTGTAGTGATCCCTCTGGAGGGCCTCGTTGCCTGCGCTCCAATAGACAGGCAACATAAGCATAAAGGAGAAAGATGTTGACTGGTATGAGAGCTTCAATACAGCTTTGAGGCCTTATATAATTATAATGGTTCTGAAATCCCATTCTATAATGAATTTTGATGTGACGTTGACTACTTGATCTCTTGAAAGGTTTACCCCAGGGCCTTTTGTTTGCTATTCAGCACTGTGCTACATTCATTTGCAATTGCTCGGTCATGCAACACTGTACCCAAATGAAATTTATATTTTTTTTCACACAAATAGAGCTTTGTTTTGGTGGTATTTAATCACTACTGGGTTTTTTATTATTATTAAATAAACATAAAAAAAAAAACAAATTAGAAAAACTAGGCTGTGTTGCAGTGTGAATGGGACACATAGGAAAAATTGTTTCCTGTGCGTCCCTGTGGTGACAGACGTTTTACCATGTATTAAAATGTCTGTCACTGCATATAGTGTGAATTGACCCTAAGCTAGCTGTTCATGAATGAAAGCCATTTGTGAAAGTTTGCTTACATAATATCATGTGACTGCTATGATTGGTCATAGTGATCACATAACACCCCGGCCGCTGACAGCGGCTGAGTTCCGAGCACTGTGATCAGGGTAGCACTAGTACGTATGAGCGTTGTTCCTGCCTGAGCCCGCCCGCTCACAGTACATTTAATGTGAGTGGTCAGCAAGTGGTTAACCAGTCTGTTTTGCATGGAAAAAAAACAAGGTATAAAAAGGTAGAGGCATCAGGAGGCCTCTACTGCACATGCCTGCAGCAACATCCAAGAACTTGTTGCCATGGTCAAATGGCAGATGCTTCGACACTCCCAGGTAGAGCCGCAGCTTATGGTTAGCTGCGGCAGGTTGTCTTAAAAAGGGAACATTAACTGTAATAACGATCTCTGCATCAACAACTGCAATATCAGCTTTTTGTGAACCTAATCTGTAGAACTTGAAAATGCATCCTATTAATATGCTGTGAAAAGGCAACTTAAAGCAGTTTTAATACAAAAAAAAAACCCTAAAAATTTTGTATATTGCAGCTTTTATTTAGGTTTTATCTTTATTTCACCTCGTGATCCAGCCAATAAACAAAGTTACTGTCTTAGGGTATCTGCATTCTGGAAGGAGGAGCAACAGAGCCGCCTTTGGGCGGCAGCTTTGTCAGTTTGGGGGCAGGGTAGTGTTAGACTAGCAGATTTAGATTAACTAATTAAAGCTGAACTCCAGCTTTTTTTTTTTTTTTTTTTTTTTTTAAAGGATAAAGGTTTTACATAAATGAATAAAAAGTTGACCATTGCAAGCTTCCTTGTCAGTGGCAAATGGTTTGTCTCAATCCTTTAACTGCTACTTAGTCTGGACAGCTTAGCCTATTAAAAGAAGTTGAAAAATAACAGACTGTCCGAATCACGAGGTGTAAATAAAGGAAAACAGTCTAATCAGTTAAGTGATCCGGCTGCAGTGCAGAGGAGGGAACACAGGCAATGGATGGGCCATAGGAGCCTATGGGTTACGTCACCGAACCAGGCTTTACCAGCCCTTGCCATGCTCTCTTCTCCCCTGCAGCTGCCTTTGGCTAACACAGAGGATCAAGTGACAGGATTGAAGTGGGCTTAAAATAGGTAAGTACATGCATCTCTTTTTACACAGGTTAGCCAGGTGTTAGGAGGAAGGAGGGACATTTTTATGACTAAGTAGGTTTATGCTGGAATTCTGCTGTGATTTTTTAAATGAAATGGAAAGCATGCAAACGTAATGAGGCGTACATAGTTGATAGACAAAATGCAGCAAGTCTTTGATACCAGCCAATCAAAAAATACCCTTGAATGCAGCCTATAGCAAAACTAATTTAAATGTCTATTTTTAAACTAAACAAAAACTTGTCAGGTAAAAAAAACCAAGCTCACTGCACTTGGTGGTTAAGTAAAATGCTAAGAGTGCAACACACTTCTGTTGGTTGTTGCTCTTTGAAAAGCTTGCTCAGTGCATACAAATGATGGGTACTTTTCTTTACTTGATGCTAAGGTTGGTTCAAACACAGCAAAGGTCAATGCAGCTTCTCTAATTATGTTACAATCCCAGAACAAACTTGACTGTCTTTGTTCACTGAATTTTGCTTATGTTTGCACAAAAAAAAAAAAAAAAGTATTCTGTGTATTTAGTCCACCAAAGAACAGGGCACTTTCTTGATGCACATGTGTCCCAACATACAAAAAATAATGTTTGATTTTCAAAGTTTTATAAATAGGTAGCCTCGGTGCAGACAGTCTTGGGTGATTGCATACAACTTTGATTATCTTCACAAGTATCAAGACTCTTGAAGTGCCCTGTATTACCTGACTTTTCTGAGCAACTGGGCCAGCCCCTCCCACAACCGCTTATTGGACAGAGAAGCTTCCTGTCAACTTAAAGAACAACTAGGGCATTGCAAATGGCAGCGTTTGCCTTTTCCAAAAAAAAAAAATTTTGATTTGTCCTAGATTGTGAGCTCTAATAAGCAGGGCCGTCTGTTTTCTCTTGTACCAAATTGTATTGTAACTGTAATGTTGTAAAGTGCTGCGCAAACTGCTGGTGCTATATAAATCCTGTATAATAATAATAGAAAACCATAGATTTTGAAACTCCCATTAAAGGTAAGGAAAGATAAACACAGTGACCTGCATTAATTATCAGTTGCTATGGTTTAGGAAACTAAAGGTTAGCTTTAAATGTACAGCCCAAGACTGGCAATAATTCTAATGTAGTGTTTCAGAATAGCATGACATTTCTGTGTGTAAAGGTGGTATCCTTTAGCTGTCATCACCATGTCCTTTTGTCATTAACAAGGACACCCAACACAACTGCTGGGAAACTTTATCTCATGTAAAGCACTGACTTTGTTCCTTATATATTTTCCATCCGCTTACCTCCTGGAAGTTGTGCTGGGTAAATTTGTCTGCAATTCTCAGCAACTCTCTGCAGGAGTGAGTGTCAGCAAAGGCTCGGATACCTAAACAGTTGGAGGGATCAAGCTGTCGTTTCAGGAATTCACAGCAGGCTTCCTGGATTTCTGCAAGTTGAAGAAGGCATGCAGCTGGTAGAAGGGTCTGTACATTGCCCTCTTCCACTGTGATTTGGGATGTGTATGAGAAGTCAATAAGCAATTCCATGGCTCGCTCATCAATGTCCCGGATTACTACCTCAGTCTGACGACTTTCAGCCAACTCTCCAGTAAACATAGCCCTGAAATAAGGGCTGCAAGCAGAGAGAATGACCCGATGGGCATAGATCTTCTTGGCACCAACAACAAGCACAACATCGCAGAGTTCTCTGTGTTTTCGTAGAAGGTTTATGACCTCCAGAGTCTGCCGTGGATGCTTATCCGAGACATAAGGCATTCGAGCTGGTTGTGGGACCCCCTCCGGCAGTTTGTTGGGGTCTCCTAGGGTGCAACGGCTCGTTACATCCATTCCAGTCTCACCTGGGCGAGTACTGAGACACCTAAGAGTAAAAATAAGGCCAAAAGTCAATGACCATAAATACAAACAATGTGCAAATTAACTTATGTCAGTCACTCACAAACAATATACAGGATGAGAGAACTCACAGTATAAAAGTAAAAACCATTAAAATGAGCAGAAATTGTAAAATTGTACAAGTGTCATCATAGAAGGAACTTTTATTAAGCAGGAAATTAGGGTAAGATTTGTCCAGCAGAAAAGCCATAAAATCAAAATAAAAAGCACCAGCCTTGGGGAGCAAGAGATGAGTGAAGAAGGGGAAACAAAGCAAAGGCAAAATGGTGGTGGGGGGGGGACCCTGAAAACCTAAGTATGCCTAAGACTTCGCAAGGACATGCAATAGCGGCTCAACATCCAGGCAGAATCTAAAACAGATGATACAAAGTTTGAATTTCAGCTGATTCCTGTTGGAAAAGCATAAACATCAGGTTAAAAATTGTCAGACAAACAGAGGCTGAAACCTATCAGAGCACTGAGCCAATACCCCCATTGTCAGTTTCTCTCATACCTGGCTGGGAGAAATACAGAGATTAAGCAGGCCACAGACAATGCAAAAACCGAATGAAAATCTTAAATCGTTCATTTTTTGCATCATTAGTGTGCCAGCTGTGACATGAGACTTTCATACCGCAATCGAAAGTGCCTGATCCAACATGATGGCTTTTTATTAGAAAAACGAAACAATTGATGGCGCAATCATATGGGCTAATTTGGTTTTTCACTTGACAGAACTTTTGGATTTCTACTCGTTTATGGCCTGCCTTAGCTTTAAAGTTCGGACTGCTCACCTTCCGTTCAGTAACCACAAACAAAATCCCTGTTACCACTTTCAATGCATCAGTAGCTGAATGGCTAAGGCCTCATTCCCCTAAAGTATACCAAAGCGTATGCCCGTGAAGGGCAGTGTTTACAGGTGTTCCATGCATTCCTGTGTAGGCACAGTCTCACTGATGTCAATTGGGATGCAGGGGCTAAATGGACACAGACACTGCTCCCAATTTAATATGTGTGTGGATGAAGGCGCGTTTCCCCAAACTCAAAAACAGTGTGCGTTTGGAGACACATGCCTCCACCCGCTACATACTAGACATCAAAGAAATGGACAGAAAGAGTGTCAGCTGATCATCTTTAAAAATCATAGTAATTTTTTGCTAATAAAATTGAGATAAACGATGACAAAAGACAGCCAATGCTTTTAGGAGCCCAAAAATCCCCCTCCACTAGGACTTAAATAGGAAATGAAGGCGCTGCCTATAGAATTATATCTGTAAAAGGTTCTGGAAAGTGTTCTGTGTCAAAAAAGGAGTATCAACAGTCACAGTGGAGGTGTGCTTGAGAAACTTGTGCAAGTACGATTTGCACAGGTTTCTAAAGTACAAGTCAATTGCGACCAATAGTGCTCCTGTTTTGACACAGAAAACTGCCTAGACCTTTCCTATAGAAAATTTTTAGATATAACCCCTGATAACGGTGGATTGTTTGGCCCCCCAAATGCATTAGCTGTCTTTTGTCTGTTATCTCAATTTTTCCAGACACTCACCCTGTGAAAAAATAAAAGTCAGCAGCTACAAAAATTGTAGCTGCTGACCTTTAAAAAACAGCCACTTACCTGTACCTCGGTGTGTCCGAGGCCATCCTGTATTCCAGGAGGCTGGCATCTTCAGTGTGGGCACCCGGCTGTGACAGCTTGCGACCTCACAACCGGGTACCCACTGCCCATGCGTGAGTAGCGCTGCACTTCATGACTGGTCCTGTAGTCTTCTGGGACCTGTCATGTATCCCAAAAGACTACAGGGAGGGAGGACACCTTCCGCTTCCAATCGAATAGGCGATCGGACCGGAAGTGGGAACAGGTACCTGTCAAATTCGGTTCTTTCCATTGATTGGTGATCCGCTGTGTCCTAGGGACACAGCGCACTGCCGATCACCGCATGCTCCCGAAGCCGAGCATGCATGGTTAGAATGGAAGGACGTCATATGACGTCCTCCCAGAACGAGAGAACCGCCTTGCGCCCGTCATTGTACTATGTGGTGGGCGGGAGGCGGTTAATTAGCACCGATCGGGTGCTCTTCAGGAAAGAGGGTATCAGGTTCTCTTAATGCTCAGCGCAAGCATGTCTGGTGAATGAGTAAATGAGGCGCCGGACCAAAAGAGAGAGAGAGAGGAAAAAAAAAAAAAAAAACTATATTCCTTCAGGTTACCCTTGCACATGGAAAAACTTGGGTGCTCAGTACAAGTGCATGCTGAGCAGCCAAATCAGCCTCCGGTGTCTACTCCCGTAAAGGATAACAAATGCAAATTTTTTGCAGGTTTAAAAAAATAAATAAATAAAAAATGTGCATTTACAATTTTTTTGGGGGGGGGGGGGGGGGAGCATTACACCAGCAAGATCATTGGTGCAGTGCAGGGCTCCTGAAGACTTTTATTGCAAGCTGTCTGGTTGTACATCGTATAGGCAGGCAGTTTCACACCGACAGGAAGAATCAATGAACTACCAGAGCACTCAACAGCGCCGTGGTAGTTCATTGAGAACTACAAACCGACACCTGCAAAAGGATGGTTGATTCTTGACCCTTTTCAAAAAGTGACAGCTGGTACCCCTGAACCACTGCAGGAGCAGGAACAGGTTACATGTTCCACCCTAAAAATGGGTGGAACATTTAACATGCTCCTGAAGGGAACTCCTCCTTCAACCCTTTCACTGCCAGAGATGTAGGTCTGACCATTACATAAAACCGCCAAAACATTATATAATTTCTGAAAGCAGACACCCTAGAGAATAAAATAGTGGTAGTTCCAATTGTTTATGCCACCTGATATTCCCAAAAAGGTCTAGGAAACGCAAAATTTCAGTAAGAAAACAGTTAATTTAAGGGCAAAATATTTTGGTAAAATACAAACGATGAGGCTGCACCATGTAAATAGATGCCCAACATGTCAAATCTTACATTTGCGTGCATCTGTGAAATGGTGACAAAGTTCAATACCCTATATTTTCTATCGGTGACACTTTAAAAGCTCCCTATAGGTCATCAGTTTAGCATTACAGAGGTGGTCTGGTGCTAGAAATTTTGCTCTCATTCCAGTGTGTGTGGAGATATGCAACGTGTTTCACAATTGCATTTTCATGCACAGGTGCCTCGCCGCATGCATTTGTACATGCATATATGTGGTGTGGGGGGTAGGAATTTTACGTTCTTGGGTCTAACTTATACGGTTGTAGAATAAAAAAAATATTTTTACTTACAGTAATTTTTTTTCTATCACACAGGGGACAAAAAGCCCCCAATGTAATGATTCTTGGTGACAGGTTCTCTTTAGATTCAGCATGTCTCCTCTGTGATCCTCTGAATGTAATGCAATGCAGATTGCTCTGCATTACATTCTTTCCCAACCTCGATGGCCGGGGTCAATGGGGACCTGGTAGTGACATCATACACATCGCTTCTGAGTCAGGAACAAGTAGGGGAGGAGAGCAGACGCGTGTCCATACGCTTCTCTTCCCTCTAACTGGCGACGCCCTCTATTCCTGACCCACAGATGGGCAAGTGGAGCCTGGGACAAAGCAAAGGGGGGAGGGTGGCCGGCCCTGTCTCAGAATGTGTGGAAGCAAATTGGGCAGCAGCAGGTAAACAAAAACTACCTGCCTGTTACTACATGTCCTGGGTGCGGGTGGTACAATTGCTACTCCCTGCTGATCAGCACCCCCCCATTTCCCAGAATAGAACAGTGTCACCATGGACACTGAGCTACTCTGATGACAGGATGTAAGAAAAAAAATTGTAAAAAGGAAAAAAAACTAAAGTATAAAAAAATTTAATACAGTTTATTTTTTTAAATTTACGGTCACAAGTCAGTATACCTGATCATCGCCATACCAGCCATTTGATGATGCAGTACTGCAATGTTGACAGTATGTAAAAAAATGTGGAAACCAAACCAAAATTTATGTAATTTCTTAATTTTCAAAAAAAAAAAAAAAAAAAAAAAAAAAAAAAAAAAAAAAAAACAAACTCTCCATGCCTCAGACTGTCCACTTTCCAAAAAAGGGGTCATTTGGGGGGGCATTTGTACTGTCCTAGAAATTTAAGGCCTCAAGAAGTAAGATAGGCTGTCAATACATCTGGACTGATCAATTTTGAAACATAAATACCAAAGTTTTTAGACGCTATAACCTTCACGCAAACCAATTAATATACATTTATTGGGCTTTATATATTTTTTTTTTTTCACCAAAGACATGTAGCAGAATACATTTTGGCCTACACTTATGTTATGTGTTTTTTTTTATTGGATATATCTTATAATAGAAAGTAGAATTTTCTCTATTTGTGTGGGGAAAAACATTGTTGGATAAAGTATTGCATGACCACACAACTGCCAGTTAAAGTAGTATAGTGCTGAATAGCAAAAAAAATTGCACAGGTCATGAAGGGGGTAAAATCTTCTGGAAGTCAAGTGGTTAAAGTTAAAAATATACTATACCTCCTCAACATAGTAACTTAATAGGTTCGATGATCCTCAAGGACTATTCACACGGATTCAAAATGCCAAGTAGCGGTTTCAAACAGTGGCAAAAAGGTATGGACGTGACTTACTGCATTACAGCTAATTGGGATATTTTTCTTGGGATTGTTTTTGATTTCTCAAGTATTGTAGTAACGTTTTATGATAGTCTAGGGGACACAAGCACTGCATTCATAATCCATTTGTAAAT